CCCTCGTCTCTCGTCTTCTCTTTCCCTTCTCCCTTCTCATAAGAGATTCACAGAAATACACCGCGCCGTTGTCGTCGTCGCCGACGACCGGAAGCGCATTTCCAAAAACTCGCTGAAGGCCGTCGACACAAAAACAGGTTCCCGGCCGACCGGCTTCCCGCACAGTTGCCTGAAATGAAACCGCCTAAACCGGACCGCGATTTAAATCGCCGACACGGATCAGGACAACCTCTCGCTCATCGAATCTTTGCCTAATTCGTTGATCTACTCGAGATTTGATATCTCGAGATCCACGTTTATATCCCGTCGCGATCGATGCAACCGTCACACTGGAGAAAAAGTCTTGTTGTATTAATTGGAATTCTTGTAGATTCAAATAGAAAGATACAAAAATCAGATATTTATAAGTTAACTTTATATCAAACATTCAATCAAAATAATTGAAAATTCAATTATGATAACCATTGCCGATTTCAATTATTATGTGATAATCATTCTGATTCGTATGATCAAAATTTTATTTGTACTTTTTGTTGATACAACCAGAATATTTTTCTCAGTGTACCATCGAGATCGCCCGATGCTCCAGCCTTGAAGACGCGATTCATTCGGAGTGTTAAAAATTACGATTCGCTCGAGGATGCGACACAAATTGTCCGCCAGGAGTTACGAGAGATTATCGACTTCTTCGAGACGATGAGATTTAAGCTCTTCCGAGATCGCAACCGATTTCACACCTCCAACGTTTCGCGTCTGGAGCACGGACCTCGTTCTCCTCCTCTTGTAAATTAACTTGGCTACGCGACAAACTGAACACAGTAAAGACGCTTGATTGAACCGATCAACGAGTAAACTTGGGGATGACTCCACACATACGCGGTACTGATAAATCGACATACCGATTGCCATCCACACCGCGGAGCGGAGATCGCACACGTAAACCACGCTTCACACCACCAGGCACCACGTTCAGAGCCTCACAGTGAACGTACACGGCACAGATGCACCAAGATGCACGTCGAATCTCCTCTCGTGCCGCACGCGCGTGCACACGGCCTTCGCGTGCGTATGCCGATGATCCAACAGCGGTAGCCACCTTCGCGAAATTCCCCCTTCAAGATATCGCCTTTTACCTCTCACTATTGTCTCTGAAAACTGAGCTTGAAATTTTGAAAAAAAATTTAGGAACGAATACACGATGGACACGAGGGTTCGTTTTTATCAAGGTATGAAAGAAAGCGAGAGAGTTCCGGCGATGAACGCGTTTCGGTTTCTCTATCGCCAGGTCGACTGGCCTGGCCGAGGTAGAATCGGCCGAGGACTGCAGGGACGCAGAAGGACGGAGCGGTGACGGAGAAGAGAGACGGCAGTGTTTAACACACAAGAGTGGCGCGTGAGATGGAAAGAGAAAGAGAGCGGGAAAAGGGGGAGATGGAAAGAGGAGGGTGAAAAGAGAGAGAAGAGAAGGGCGAAGAGAGGAGGATTGGAGACTTGGAGTTCGAGAGCGTGCCGACACCGGTTTTGCCTGGTTCGCTTAGTTGGCAAGACTACAGGTAGAGGTCGGCTTCAAACGTCTTACCCTTTTGTGTGTGTGTGTGTGTGTGTGTGTGTGTGTGTGTGTATGTGTGTGTGTGTGTGTGTGTGTGTGGGTATTGTGGGTACAAGTGTTGCTGTTGCACGCCTGTGGATGAGCGTGTGGGCGCGTGTGTATACGAGTGTGTACGCACGCGGGGCTCTCAGGCTATGAGACATTAACTGGAATATGA